TGTCCAAAAGTTGCTGAATGTTGGTGTAAATATCGTGTAGCAGAAGCAACGAAAAAATTAAAAAAATTTAAACATCCTCCAGCATTGTCAGAAGAAGTTCAACCTCTTTTAAAAAGTGTTTATCAAGATCTCACAACGGACGATTTACTGCAAAGATGCTTAGGAGCAAACACTCAAAATAACAATGAAAGCTTCAATGCATGTGTTTGGAACTTAGCACCTAAGGATATATTTGCGGGGAAAAAATCGTTGAAATTGCAACACATTGTGCTGCATGCACTTTCAATGATGGCTTCCGTCCCTTGCTACAAATCATGGAAATCATGGGGATCACTATTGGCAAGGAAGCAGTGGAATTTGTGCAGCGACAAGACAAAGCGCGAATTGAATCAGCGAATCGTCGTAGCTCTGAAACTTCCAAAGAACGCAGATCAGAAATTAGAAACTACAGGTTGCAACAACATGATACATATGAAGAGAAAGATTCCCGTACAATCGCCCGAAAACACGCGCCCGAATGGACCATCGCCCGAATACAGTTACCCCGAAAATTTTTTGCCCGAAGACTATTACGCCCGAATGCCCGAAAAAAAATTTAATGGAATTCTAATGGAATTCTAATGGAAATTTATTATTCAATTAGTGGTGAATAGAAATTACAAGTCTGAGCCAAAAAATTAGGATAATTGAATGTTGTGTGCAAAGTTTTCTAAATATTTTAGTCTTTCATTAATTTCCTTGTCTGTTTCATATTTTTCCGCAATTGACGTGAAGCGTTGTTGAAGTGCAATCCATTTCACTGAACGCCCTAGACTGAGTTCGTCTAAGCAGGTCTCAGTGTCTTGCTGCTCCTTCTGGATTTGTTTCAAAGACGAATAGAGGTCCAGGTGATCTTTGTTGACAACTATTCGGAATCGATTGTGCCAACCTTCGCTTACGTTATTCGTCCGATGTTGACCCTGAAGGGTTGCTTCGTATTATTCCATACTTCAATGGGGTAGCGATCTTACGAATAAAGAACCTTCCAATAATAATTTATTTCTAACAATTCTGGGCAATTCGACGTTTAAATCCATTGAAATTAAGTACAAATAACTAGGAATTTAGAATTTAATTAATTTCGAAAAACAACATTTACAAACTGTAAATTTTGACATTGTGATAAACAAACTACTCTACATTCTTTTGTTTATTTACGTCACAATCTACCGTATTTTGTTATATTTTTTTGTATATTTATTTTTTCGGGTACATATTTTCGGGCGATTAGATTCGGGCGGAGGTATTCGGGCGAATAGATTCGGGCAATTGCATTCGGGCGGGTGTTTTCGGGCGAATGGGCGGTCCAATTGAGGTCCAATTAGGTAAAGGTTTGTGGAGAATTAGTGGCCGCGAATGGCATGAATTCGCGGAGAATAGAAATGAGCGTCTGGACGGCACAATTTACGCAAAGTGTGCGGGTATTTGTGATTCGACGTCTGATCAGCGTCAAGAAGTCCAGAGGTTAGTAGACGAATTAGTTTTATCCCAAACGGTTGAACACGGGATGACAACTCATACTGAGTATCATATCAGGGTTTTGGACTCGACGCCGATGAAACATTGGCCTCGGAGCATGTCAGCGATGATGTTACATCAGTTGATTAAAAAAATTAACGCGCTTTATTGTTCTAATACGGTAGATCATATAAAGCGTTTGGATGCGTTGCGCGTTTTAGAAGTAACATTTATTGAACCTTCATTAGTGTCGGTTTACGACTTAAAGTCCAATAATATTCGTCGCACCGTTAATGCGCTCTTATTCGACTTAAAGCGTTTCATTCCTCCTCGTCTTGGGTTGCCATAATCAATGTCAGCGTCCAGAGAGAGTGAGTCTCTGCTGGAGCACCTTCGGTTCCCAGAGAAGCAATAAGCCAGTTGGCCAGAGGAATTGGCCCAAGTACCGCGAGCCCAATTTTCGGAGGAGCGACAATGAATTTTTCTTTACAATATTAGATGAATTTCTCTGTAAAGTAATATTTTCGGAATTCAGCGTTTCGTTTTCGTTTTGGGTTTTATCGGCGATAATAGCAGGCTATTATCGGCCTAGGAAAGGGGTTTGTAACGATGTAAATCGTTACTTATATTGGTTGGTATCTATCAGCGTTTTCGCCCCTCTTGATCTATCAGCTGTTTAGTTTTTCGTGTCAACGTGCCACGAACATGTGTTCTGGCAGTTTTTCTGCGTGAGGATGTGCGCATGTTTGTGCCGCCTAAAGGCCCGATTGTCAGCGTCGTTATCTAGGTTTTCCGGGGAGCTGCCGCCAAATCGTCCAGGGAGAAGGATGGAGCGATAGGGGTGACGAGGAAAAGGGATAGCGCGCCCCTCTTAACAGATTAGGAGATCTAGGGGAAGTCGGCGTCAATAGCCAGTCGATTTTGGATCGTATTGAAAGGAAGGCCCTTTTGCGGGACTCATAATTTATAATCGCGTTATACGCTTAATTATTCAATAAATAGTTGTATGTGTGAAATAAATCTTTATTCGTTGTTAACTAAATGTGTGTTATTTGTCGTTATAATAATTTGGATTTATCAGCGTCAGTCAACGTCGTCTTAGTGTCGGCATTTCGACATTGCTGAGTTCTTTTATGGTTCATCTTGTTCTGGGATCATCAATGCACCGATGGTTCGACTTGGTTGGAATCTCCCTTTGGTATTTTTCAGAGTAATTTAAGATAAGTATTTAGCGTTCGATTAATGTGGACGGTGCAAGCGGGTTTCCCATAACGCGCGAAAGTCTACCATTATAACTCTTTTAATAGAGTGTACAAAGAATGTTTTTGCCGCATAGATTACTGCCGCCATCGGTTTCGATCCCAGATATATTTGTTAGTTTCAAACCAATTGTTTCAAGAAATTCCTTTACTCCACGATATAAATAATTTGCAGCAGCAGATTCGACTTGTATAATACCCAAGTAATCGGTGACAATGCGATTGCGTTTCCCGCTGAAATATTTGATACATAAGCACAAATATTAAAAAGTTGAGACATCGGTAGATTCGTCGACAATCAAAGAATAACTCGTGTCTCCGACATTTTCGACTAAGTCCTCGAGCATGGAAGACGATCTCACATGCAGTATGATATTAGTACACTTGGTCCTATGTATTTAAAAATTGTCCAACGTGGTTCCTTTTCTGACCCGTTTGACAATTTCACACAAATCATCGATGCTTCGAATCGCTGAATGACACGCTATGTACGTCGAAAATTTTAGACCTGTACACTTTTCTTTTTTGCTAAAAACAATTTTGATATTTTGCGTGTACTTTCGCACTTTCTCAAGATATTTACTTGATTTTGACATTTTAAAATCGTTCACGAGGACAAAATATGCATTACCAAAATGTCTTTGCCATTACGTGCGATCACTCAGTTTCAGTTGTTGTACAGTTAGAAACGTTATAAAGCAGACGAAAACGACAGACTGCGTCCACACTCTTTACGCCCAGATAAATACATGCGAAGTAAAATAAGATGTTATGATTGGTTTTGCTATACTTAAACCTTCCAGTTCTTTGGACATTTCAGCTAATCAATTTAGGGTTATGAAAATCACTAGGGCGTAAATAAACAAAAAAGTATAAATGCAATGAAAATTTTAAATAGTAGTATTTATTATCTATGTCATCGTCAAAAATCGCAAATCCAATTTGAAAATCGCCATAGTTGGAGTCAATCGCCAAATATAAGAAAGTGGTCGCCAAAAAGAGTTTAAAATCGCCATGTCTGGCAACCCTGCTGTCATTTAGTGTATTTTCGTAACTTCGTACAATAAAGGACAATTTTACGTTTCTCTACAGAAGTACAAATAACGCTATTTTTATGATTGCGTTATGAAAAAAAAAATATTTATATCTTTAAAACCGTATCTAAGCCTTTTTTGATTAATAAATTATTTATAATTTGACGGTTAATAACAAAAAACATATGTGACCTGGACAGTTGAAAGGTGCCTTATGTCCGAAAAAAACAATTTTCACTTTTTTGTTGATTTTTATAGAAAAGATATGCTCTTTTCAATGCAATAAACCGCGCAGCAAACAGCTTCATTAGTCTTTTTACAAATGCGCTTCAAAGATGGACACAACTGTCCAGACAGCAAAGAGTAATGTCTAAATGAAAAAATATTTTTACTAAAATACGTTTGGCATCGAGATTAGATCGAAGGAATCAAATAACACAAAAATCTTGAAAATATTACATAGTTTTCGAGACATTGCTGGCGATATGAACATCAAATTTTTTGACTAACTCCCTAGATTTCGGAGTAAGACATTGTCACGTCAAAATTGGAAGTTATGCTTCAGCGTTAGTAATGAGTTGTTCCTTACATCATATTTAATAGTATTTAATTCTAATACGAACTCTATTTTTATTTCGCATTATTTATGAATAATTCGAATGTTTTATGGAATTTAAATATTGTTCTTTAATGAGATGAGACTTTTTACATCTGTATTCACTGAAAATGAAATTAATTACCTGATTTATTTTCAACTACTTTATTTTATGTAAATTATCTTACTTTTTCGCATTTCATAATTTAAATAGAGGATATTCTAAAAAATATGTTTTGTCTTCAATTTTGAACGGTGGAGCAAAGCTCCCCACGGTTTTTAAAAAGTCGTAAAATCAGTATTTTCGGAATGCAAGTAAAATTTCTATATACGTTTTGAATTTTAATTAATTGATCATGCCAAAAGTTGGGTTTGTATGTGAACTAAAAGTTCTATATAATAGAATAGTCAAAAAAATTTATATAATAGTTTTGATCGAAAAAGACAACCAGGTACACAACTCCCCATTCCCCCCTACTTCAAGATATTTAGTCTGTTTTGTGACAAGACCTACTGAAACAATTTTAAGGTCTCATGTGTTAAAAATCAACGAAAATAACTATTTACTATAATTGTATTTAAATCTTATAGAACAAAATTATAATAATTACTTACTGTATAAGTATTCAGAGCAGCCATCAAAACCTTCTTCATCTTCCTCACATTTTTCGGCAGCCGTTTCATGATCTGATAATGTAGTAGCAAATATGCAAGCTCCATGTTCGACCAAAAATTTTACCATCGCTAAATTATTGCAACTAGCCGCACAGTGTAATGGAGTCCTAAAAAATGAACAAAATCATAGATTTTATTACTCTACAAACAGTACCCATTATTCACGTTTGGCTTCAAGTAGATTTAGGTTTTGCAAAAATGGTAACAAAATTGGATAGCGGCATTTTATTCCTCTTTCTTCATAGCTATAAAAATCTTAAAGACCAAAATCGTAGTTAGTGTTAAATTTGTAATTTTTATATAATACCTACCTGACAAGAAATTGTAAATATAAGTTATTTCAATTTAAAATAAAAATGTAACTCACATATGCTTTTGTTGCTAATTTCATATAAACAATTTGACGTTTCACTACCATTCAATGTATTACTGTGTAACCTTCACGGCGATAAGAGCTTCAGTATATTTTACAAGTCACGTTTATTACAAATTCCACACACACCCTGGCGGATTCGATTTGCGTAATGTCTACTTAACTAAGCGGACTTTAGGTAGACATTAGGTAGACATGTAAAAAAACGTATAAAAAAGCTATTAATCGACTTATTATGATAAAAAAAAGTTGATAAAAGGGTAAATGAATGTTTATAGAGTAAATTCGTACAAAATTTGTAATTAATAAAGCAATAAATAATTAATAATGAATGGAAATGTGCGCGAGGTACCTGATCAGTTCAGCTGTACAATTATTTTCGTGCTATTTTCATGAAAAAAATATAAATTAACGGCAAAAACAATTGATATTTATAAAAAAGTGTAAAATTGATTTAATTTGAGTGTTTGCAATACGAATTATTAAATAATAATTAAGTTTTTATCAAATGTGAATAGTGTTGTGAAAACCTGTGAAAACTAATGAGTTACTACATTACCGATCGCATATGATAATAAAAAGTTCTCGATGAGTGTAACAAAAAAGCTGCAATCATGTCCGTAATTTTGGACGAGAAACAATTATGAAATCAATAATTATTTGTATAACTTTATTCTGCATTTTAAAATTCACTTTTTATTTTCTTTCAAAGCAAAAGCTTGGAAGAAAACAAGCTCGCACTGTATTGTAAAAACTGGTGGCGCCATCTCTGGCAATCTCGGAAATTATGTACTTGGTTAAATTGGAGCTTTTTTGTTACACTCATCGAGAACTTTTTATTATCATATGCGATCGGTAATGTAGTAACTCATTAGTTTTCACAGGTTTTCACAACACTATTCACATTTGATAAAAACTTAATTATTATTTAATAATTCGTATTGCAAACACTCAAATTAAATCAATTTTACACTTTTTTATAAATATCAGTTGTTTTTGCCGTTAATTTATATTCTTTTCATGAAAATAGCACGAAAATAATTGTACAGCTGAACTGATCAGGTACCTCGCGCACATTTCCATTCATTATTAATTATTTATTGCTTTATTAATTACAAATTTTGTACGAATTTACTCTATAAACATTCATTTACCCTTTTATCAACTTTTTTTTATCATAATAAGTCGATTAATAGCTTTTTTATACGTTTTTTTACATGTCTACCTAATGTCTACCTAAAGTCCGCTTAGTTAAGTAGACATTACGCAAATCGAATCCGCCAGGGCAAAAAAATTTACCTACAGAATAAAAATGTAATCTGATTAGTTGTCCACAATTAAGCAGATTGTGTACAACCAATCAGATTTCTGCATTTTGTTTCTGTCAAACGTCAAATTGATTGTACAATATTCGCAAGAAAATAAGATATTATAAATCCTAATATTAGCCAAATTCTAAATCATCCTTGAATACACAATAAATACAGCACGGAGAGAAGGGCGTATTTAATCTTACTACCATGCCAGTTAAATCTACTAAATAGTATCGTTTATTTTGGACTGATTAAACAGTCAGTTTAATGAACTATTTGTTTAGTATAATGTAAGGGAGAATTTACACGATTATCGACAGAAACGAAATGCAGAAATCTTATTGGTTGTACACAATCTGCTTAATTGTGGACAACTAATCAGATTTCTACATTTTTATTCTGTAGGTAAATTTTTTTTTGTGACAAAACAATAGTAGTCCCTCTGACTACGCTGTTTAGTAGAATCTGTACTACACAGAAAAAACTTAATCTCAAATTGAGTTCAAAATTTATACTCAATTTAATACGCATCAAAAATGAGACAGGCAAATGGAGCCACGTTTTATGTCATTTAAGATGAACTCATTTTGAGATACAACCGATAAGAGTCCAACTTTTTTCTATGTAAACGTGTTTTGTAAAATATACTGAAGCTCTTATCACCGTGAAGGTTACATAATAATATATCGAATGGTACTGAAACGTCAAATTGTTTATATGATATTAGCAACAAAAGCAGATGTGAGTAAAATTTTTGTTTTAAATTGAAATACCTTATATTTACAATTTCTTGTCAGGTAGACATTAAGTAAAAATTGCAAATTTAACAATAACTTGAAAAAAGAATCATCTACGATTTTGGTCTTTACGACTTTTAAAGCTTTAAAGAAAGAGGAATAAAATGCCGCTATCCGATTTTGTCACCATTTTTGCAAAACCTAAATCTACTTGAACCAAGCATGTATTCTGATGAATATATTTTTATTTTTAAAGTTCTAAAGCTACAGTTGTTATTGAACAATAACCAAATCCTGGTAGTAAAAAATAAATCACCTTAACATTGTACCGACAACCTGGGCTATTCTGGTACTCCAGGGGCTACTAGGGTACAAACTAGTTTTTAATTTGTAAATTATTCATTTAATGTTAAAATTTGACACCTAGCAGCAATTAAAGTATGACATTTTGGTAACAAAATACATGTAAAGTTATTAGTAAATTCGGTTTTAGAAATCAGAAAAAAAATTTATGAAGACGGAAAAATTTTGTTGGAAATTGCGAAGTTCTGTAAATAACTTGAAAAATAATTACTATACTAACAATTATTTTTAAAATAAAATTTACAACGACAGGATCAACAACGGCGAAACTGGAATCAAGATAAAATTCATCAAGGGAATTCCCGTGATAGTATCAGATTAGTTAATTTAAATAGCAAAAATAAAGTTACTAATTTACATATCTTATATCAGAACGTTAGAGGTTTAAATACGAAATCATGTCAGTTAGAAGCTTTCACTGATTATAATTTTTATGATTTATTTATTCTAACTGAAACTTGGCTATCAACTAATTTTGAAATTTATGATTTTTTTCAACAAGACATATTTAATGTTTATAGGCATGATAGATTGGATAGAAGAGGAGGCGGCATTCTAATTGCGATTAAAAATAATATACGAGTAATTGAAATTCCAATTATTTTCCCTGATTTTTTGACTTCGATTATTAATCACGTATGTGTTAGAATATTTCTATGTGATATTTCGTTGGACGTCATTTGCCTATATATCCCTCCTAGCATAGCGGCTCATGATTATAACTCTATTTTCGATTGCATTAACTCCCATGCTCACATCCTTTTGCAGAATATTATTTTTTTTGGAGATTTTAACGCACCAAATTTTGTGCAATATGATATAATTTCGCGACAGATTGTACCTGATCGCAGAGTCCAATCTCTTCTAATGTTCTCAGATTATTTTGATTTTCAACAGTTGAACAAAATCAAAAATCACAATGGTGTCATGCTAGATTTAGTTTTTTCCAACTTCATATCTGACTGCCTTCGACCTCTTTCCCTTCTTGTCCTTGAAGATAACCATCACCCAGCACTTTATTTTCCTATTTCTCTTTCGCAATTCGCCTCTTCGAATTTGACTAACAATCCCTCTCATCTGATTTCAACTAAACCGCGTTTCAATTTCAAAGCAGGTAATTTCCCAATGATTTATAATGAAATTATTTCGCACGACTGGACACCTTTAAATAATATTGATCTTATAGATGAAGTCTGCTCTTACATTAAACTCACTATATTAAATATATTTAAAAAACATATCCCATATTTTTCTGACAATAAAGCCCCTATATTGAAGTATCCTATTTGGTACACCAAGGATATAATCGAGGATATTAATATAAAAAATTCCATGTTCTCAAAAAATCGATCAATTAAGTCGTCAAGAATAACAGATCAGGTCCATCACCTTACAGCTAGTATCAAAAGACGCATTAGAGACTCGAAAAATATGTTTTATAGTGAGATTCAATCTAGCATATCAACAAACCCGAAAGATTTTTGGAAATTCATTAATCGTAATAAAAAATCCCCTCGTATTCCTGAAATAATGAAACTAGAAAACAATACTTATGATACACCTCAAGATATTGTTAATGCCTTCGCTACATATTTTTCGAGTGTCTACCTGCCATCCGATCTACACAACGATGATTATAACACTCCAAATCACTTCCTTTTCCATAATGATTTTTTTTTTTGACACCTGAAGACGTAAGTATGGCTATGAAATCTTTAAATGACAAAAATAGAGCGGGCGTAGATGACATCCCTAGTTTTTTCTTTAAATCTTGTTCCAATATATTAAATATCCCGCTTTGTTTTATTTTTAACAAAATACTATCTTGCGGTTATTTTCCAGCAGATTGGAAAATTACAAAAATTGTCCCCGTGTTTAAATCCGGTGATAAATGTGCCATAAAAAATTATAGACCGATTTCCATTATTTCTAACTTTGCCAAAATTTTCGAAAAATCCATAATTAAACACATTTCTTTTCCATTATTATCTTTTATCGTAGAGGAACAACACGGTTGTATGAAAAATAGATCCACAACTACTAATCTCGTGAGTATCACGCAATCTATTAATGAAGCCATATCTGAGGGTGACCAACTTGACGTTATTTACACAGATTTTTCAAAAGCTTTTGATAGCATTGACCACAAAATACTTTTTTCAAAACTCGCATGCCTCAACATTCCCCAAAATCTAATTTTTATTCTATATTCCTATTTAGTTAATAGGCAGAACACTGTACATTATAATGGTTTCTCTTCCCCTCCTTTCATACCATCCTCTGGCGTCCCTCAAGGATCAGTCTTAGGATCACTCCTTTTT